ATCCGATGATGTCCGAGCTGTCAGTCGTTCTAGACCAGCCGGTACCACTAGCGAGTCTCTTCATTTCCAAATTCACTGCCAACAGCCCGCTTGAATACACCTTCCTTTGTCTGTAGACATGATTCTTTCCTCTTCTGCAATACCCGTCACACACATCTTGGAGGAGGAAAGGGATACGGTGGACGCATTAAAGTGGATGGTGACCACTTCTCATCGACTGTCCATCGAGGAGCGAAGGATGATTTCGCATCTTCAGTTCCACCTGCATCTTATGGAAGTTATGGTGACGGAAAGAGGCCGCACAAAATAAAATGGGCCATGCAAGGCATTCTGGAAGTCAATTGTGGAAGTGTGGGATTTATAACTCGTGCTGCAAAGCACAGGCCACAAATGCTGAAGACGAAGTGTTGGTGTGATTTGACAGGGAGGATTACTTGGCACAGCATCACCACCTCGACATCATCCGTAGCGATGGTGAGGAAAGCTGAAACGAATTCCCTCCAACTGGCCTCTCAGTTGCACGAAGGAACGAAATCGGCTCCCACACTGACCAAACGAGCTCACTTCGTGCAACAGAAGTTGAGCGATTGGAGTGCAACAAACGTTGCTCAGCAGCGAGGGCCTACAATGCTCAAAGGGGATCTACAACGCAAAAACAAAGCGAAGGGAACAAGTGGCGAAAAAGCAAGGCCTTGGTGACAAGTACTTTGGCAATATGCACCATTGTTGGTGAAATGCAAAAGGACTTTGAAGTTAAGCTCGGCATGAGTCTCACTGGTCGCAACTCGGCGACTCACCGAATCCATGCCATCACCTTGGCGAATGGCATCGCGACTGAGCCCTTTGGGATTGCATCCGTCAGGCCGTGCGTGCTGCAACGAATTAAACGATGACACCAGACTATCAAAAGTGTTGGATTCTCGTCAAACTAGTGAATTGGTAAGTGGAGAAGGTTGCAGTCATGACCGCACCGGCCAAGGATAGGTGTCCGCCAGTGTCACTCCACATAACGAGAGTGTGCAACGCACAATGACACAATGTGACTCAACTTGACTGACTACCAATCAGAAGGGCAAACATTCTGAGGAGGAGTACTCGGTGCAGTGCTCACAGGAAAACTGTTTAAACAACACAATTTCACGACTAACCATCCTCACCCCGATCGGCAACTGCATTGGGGCATTCATTGTCAATTGATGTTTGCAAATTGCTAGCTATTGCAGATGGTAGAAAACTTGCCAAATACCATAGGTGCGTGCATGATTGTCATTGATCCATCCAATCCACAGCACGCACGTTGAGGCGCGTGTGCCAGAGGCTATCGTTTAACACAGTCAAATAGCCTCTATTTCAAATGAGAAAGGCGATTATCTCTGCCTCCATATGGTTATGAAGGTGTATGACGCATAACTGTTATGAAGGGGTGCACACGATGGAGTTAATCCTCGCGTGTTCCTCATTCATAACCTCACCTTTCTGTCTTGCAGATCAAAACCTCACCCATCACGCATCGCCACACTCACGGCCGCCTTCGCTGCTGCCGCCCATTATGATGCTATTGACCACAACAATCTACGCCGCCATTCAGCACTGCTTCGCCCCAAACATTGCGAGTGCGAGGCGTCAGGGTAGTGCACATGGGCATTCTCAGTCGTCCCATGTGGAGCATCGATGGACTGTTGCGGTATAAAAGTAACGGCATGTCGATGTACGACTCCCACTGACTCGACTTTGATAGGCGGTTGACTGCATTCACTCCTGCATGCGAGCATTCCGCATCGGGCACTAATGATATAATGACGAGGTTGGACACGACTTGTTCCCACGTTAAGGTGTTGCCGAAGGGAATCAGTCCGATGCGGAGTCGGTTTCGACCATGTGCGACGAGCTTTTAGTCAAACAGATTTTATTGCATCGTTTGTCCACCATGGCAGAA